TTGGTCTCGGTGTGGCTCCCTGGTTTTGATGTAGCGTTTTGACTCAGTCTCGGTGTGTGTGTTTTTATGCTTGACCAGACAGCCCACTGAGTCTAATGCAGAGTTTCTAAAAAATATGACCCGGGCAAACAGACCGAAGCTCCCAGTGAAAAGCAAAGGGCCTTGTTGCTGTTCCGTTAATGTATTGTATCACGCTGAAGAAAGCTGGGTTTACTTTGTCTCCCTCATGGATACTCACAGCCTCTTGAATTTCCCACAGCAGAGAATCATGGCTATCCAAGTTTTCCAATAACTATTCTTGTACCAACGATGACTCAGGGGTCATGTTAACGCAGAATTCTGCGTTTTTCACCCTAAGAAAATCTAAAATGCTTCTAATTGTAATTTCTGCTTGGCTTCAGTCAATGTTCACTCCAAATCATGAATGTAAAAGGACTGTTGTGCTTGAGTTGCACTTGCTCCACTCGGATGACAAATATTGGCTATCATCTTAATAAATCAGATTCCTGTATACACTAACGGGCATTCAATCAGCAGACAGCGCTCTTACTGATGTACTTCGATGTAGTAGTTTTTCTCTGTTAGCAAAAGAATTAGGAAATGTAGCTAGCTACATTCTTTCTATGATAAACATGTAAAATCTCATGGCCATGCATCATTTTAGCAAAAGATACCTTGCTTTTTCATTGTAAGCTAATTTACTTGTGTGGCTGCTAGCCAAATAGTGTTGCACTTTTGTCATCTGATTAAAAACTAAGCTTTTCTATTTCTTTTGCATTCATTAATTTTGTGTGAAGAGAAACTATAGTTGCACGCCCCTGATCACTCTATTGGCCGCAAAACATCACTGTTGACTTTCAATATAAAACTCACGTGAAATGGTTTAAAACGCTGGTTTTTGGATGGTCTGCGTTTGAAAATGCAGATTTCTAAAAGCTAATGCGACACTTGTATGTAGATTATGGATATTGGTGTGTTACTTAAACCCAGGTTAATCTGACACCTAAAGGCCTATTGGGAGTAGATTGTAGAAGGAGAAGCCTAGTACACGCCGTGGATAATCCATTCCTCGGCCGGCATGCCTCAGTCTTTGGCTCAGGTGGATATAACAATAACACACCTTAGCCATAAGTCTGTCTGTTCGTTGGTGACGTGGGTTTGATGTTCTGAGGGAGAGAGAATGACTCAGAGGGTAGCAGCAGCAGTGATGAAACCGAAGCGCCATTAAATGGAAATGAGTGACGGCAACGAATGAGCAGCTGCCACGTCAGGCGCCTCAGCAGCTGTGTGTCTCTCTCATCAGATCGTTTTTTTTCCCCCGACAACCTGTCGCTCCTCGTGACCCAGAGGCGGTTTGACAGCACAGACGGACCACAGAAGCAGCCACAGCCTCAGAAGCACCAAAGAGCAGTGAAGACTATGGGAGGCAGAAGCCTGAGGAGGGCATGCTGAATGCGCTGTGCGATGCCTCGGAATCGGAAACCTCTGCGAATAACCAGGGGATAGTAGACTCTACGTCGGTGTGCTCGGAAAGCTCTGGGAATATCCAGGAGGGGATACAAGTAGACTGTTGTGCTTGGCTCTGCCTGTGGTGGAGGAGGGGCCACAGGGACGGTCACTGTGTGCAGCAGGTGCGATGACTGTGAGCCCGGAGTGTGCAGGGCAGGATGCGCTGCTGGACTCTTTTCTCACAGTAGCCAGTGGAGAGTAACTGTTACAGACATGCTGCTTTGCCTCAGGACTCTATAGTATGGCTTTTACCACAGCCCTCCGCTACAGTCTTATAGCTTGTGAGTCTTGTGTATGGAATTGGCAGAACAATTACTTATCTCTTGTGAGTATGTCAGACTTCTCTTTGCCCAAAGCAGTGGCACTCAATCTGATTATCATCTATGTAATCTTAAGCATAATGTTGTCTTGATTGATATCTCTGTTAAGCCAGATCATATCTATGAAATTGTTGTAGATTTTTACTTAATGCATTTATTATAAACTCTGGTTTGTCAATGATGTAGCGATGGCTATATAAAACTACATTTGTTCTATGTCAACCTTTTCTGCCAACATTTGTGTATATTTTCCATGAATTCTTCTGTGGAACTACCATGGAAACATTTAGGTTACACTAGCATTTTCTCACTGAGTCTGTTGCCTCAACTCAAAGACTAAGCTACTTGATAACTAGTAATCCCAGAAGGGATGGTCTGCTTGCTGTGTGACAAGATGAAGTAGCCTATATCACCAGTCATTGTCTGCATGCATTGTAGTTTCTTCATACTGGCTATCAGCTTTGCTGATTTGACTGTACTGAGATGAACACTGACTTTTGGCCACTGGCCATTGCTATTTGCACATTGGTCTTTGTATGATCACACCACAAATCAAACCCAGCTTTATACAGCACACTTAAGACATGGTATGCAATGTAATGCGCTTTACAGGATAAAAACTAATAAACAATGAAGATAAAACCTGAAATATTTACTGCACAACAAACATAAGATAAAAAAACAAAAGAATGACACAAACTGAACGACTAAAAAGCACCCTAAGGAAAAGCAAAGCTAAAATATGTGTTTTAAGATCTCTTTTTAAGTATGTCCACAGTTTCAGCCCCCCTCGGGTTCTCTGGCAGGCTATTCCAGAGGCTGGGGTCATAAGAACTAAAGGCTGCCTCTCCATGCCTCTTTGTCCTAGGCTTTGGGATAGTTAAAAGGCCAGTGCCAGAGGACCTGAGGGATCTACTGGGTACATAACTTAAAAGCATATCTGACATGTATTGGGGTGCACAATCGTGGATTGATTTTAAAACCAATAGAAGAATCTTAAAATTAATTCTGAAACTCACAGGCAGCCAGTGCAGAGACCTTAAAACCGGTGTAATGTGTGCTCTCCGTCTGGTCTTGGTCAGTACCTGTGCTGCAGCATTCTGTATGTTTTGCCGTTGACCAATGGCTTTCTTGGGTAGACCAGACAGGAGAGCATTAGTCATCAAGCCTGCTTGTAATAAAAGCATTGATGAGTCTCTGTATCAGCCTGAGATAGAAAAGGCCGCACCTTGGCAATGTTCCTCAGGTGGTAAAAAGCTATTTTGGTCACATATGTAATGTGATTAGAAATTTAGTTCAGAATCTAAAATAACACCCAAGGTTTTTTTACCTGGTGTTTTATCTTTATTACCCGTGAATTAAAATGTGTGGCCAGATTCTCTCTCTGTGCTTTGGCTCCAACAATAAGTACCTCGGTCTTGTCTTGATTTAGCTGGAGGAAGTTGTGAGCCATCCAAGTATTTAAATCACTAATACAGTCTAATAATTTATCCGTGGAGCTAAAATCCTCTGGTGACACAAATGTTAAGTTGTGTAACGTCTGCGTAGCAGTGAAAATCTATGCTGTGCTTTCTGATAAGGCTGCCAAGGGATAACATTATATTTGTATTTATATATATATATGTATATGTATATGTGTGTGTGTATATATATATATATATATATATATATATATATCTATATATATATATATATATATATATCTATATATATATATATATATATATATATCTATATATATATATATGCATGCACTACCAGTCAAAAGTTTGGACACACCTACTCATTCAAGGGTTTTTCTTTTCTTTTTCTTTGCAAAGCTGTCATCAAGGCAAAGGGTGGCTATTTGAAGAATCTCAAATATAAAATATATTTTGATTTGTTTAACACTTGGTTATTACATGATTCCATATGTGTTATTTCATAGTTTTGATGTCTTCACTATTCTACAATGTAAAAAATACAAAAAAAGAAAAACCCTTGAATGAGTAGGTGTGTCCACATTTTTGACTGGTAGTGTATATATGAACAGTACGCAAGGTTGAGTGGAAGGGCCTTAAAAAGAATGAGCAGTTGTCAAACTCCTGGAGATGAGCTTCTCATTATTCCCTGATCTAGCCTATATTCTGCTATACTGATAGTATGCGTATACATCTGTACTCCTGTTATTGTTGTTGACCACCACTCCTACTTTCTTTTGTCTGCTGAAGCGTGGAGGCCTACCTGAACTCATGTATATAATACTCTCCTATCTTGTCTCCTGCCACAGGAATCCGCCAAGTTTTCTGACCTGAACCCCAATGCGAAAGCATGGGCCAATCACATGCTTAACCTGGACACCGCCACTGGGACTGCGAACACACCTGCTCTCCAGCCATGGAAGGACGGCTGCGATAGCAGCTCAGCTGACCCTGGGCCAGAAGGTCAGCCATTTTTAAGGACCGGATGGAAATAGTCCCTCCGTTACTGTGTCTGTGTCTCAAGTGGCACCTTATTCCCTACATAGTGCATTACTTTTGACCAGAGTCCTGGTCAAAAGTAGTGCACTATGTAGGGATTGGGGTGCCATTTGGTATGCAACCCCTGTCGTCACAGTGCACGGAGCAGCCAGGGGTTGAATCATTTATACTCAATTTAGTCAGAGGGAGAGCTATGAATATTACCAACCCATCCTTCCTTCTAACACATAAGCATAATAATTGTATGTGCTGATGTTAAGATTAGCCAAGTTTAGCAGCCGTGGCAGTTAACAAGGGAATGGTGTATACATGAAAATGATCAATTAGGACAAGTTTTTTTCAGATTGAAACATCTACATATTATTCCCAGCTCATTATATGAAGTTATTTGTGGCGATTACAGTAAACACATTTTCATGGTATCCATTTGAACATCTAGATACTGACCTCACTTTCCCCTTGTATAGATACATTTACTACTAGTACTACGTAACATGTAGGCCTATTGTTTCTTCAACTTAAGCCATCACAGTATTACTAGCTAGTGTTAATGGATTGCTTGGTTGTCCCTTTGTTACTCTGTCCAGGCTATGAAGCCAGTAAAGACGGTAGCTAGTGTTAACTGCTTGGTTGGTTGTTCCTGTGTCTACCAGTGTCCAGGCTATGAAATGTTAACTGCTTGGATGGTTGTTTCCGGTTTTACTCTGTCCAGGCTATGAAGCCAGCAAAGACAAAGTGTTTGAGGAGCCACTGTTAGCCGACCCAGATGAGCCTCCGCCGGTGATGATGGCAGAGCCAGCCGCCACTGTCACCCTGGAGTGCTCCGACCCTGCTGCATACCCAGAGTCTGGCCAGGAGGCAACTCACACAGGTGGGATCCTCATCCACTGGAGTGGAGACCATTCACTTGAGTTGAGCAAAGCGTCTGTGAAAGTGATGCACAATTATACAAATGGTATTCCGAATTCACTGCAAAATTGTGTTTAGAATATTAGAAATGTATGGATCAATGAGTTTGTTTTAACTTAAACAACCTGTAGAGTTTCCTGTAGAACAGGTATTTTACAGTAATAGCCTACAGTAGGCCCTAAAAGGTACTGCGTGTAATAAAATGAATGGTCTAATGTCACTAGAGTGCACTATATAGGGAATAGGGTGCCATTTGGGACTAGCCAGTGAGTTGAATGAAATGAATGGTCTCGTCATGAAAGTGAATGACTGAGTGTCTGTTCCCCCTGTGTGATGAACAGGCAGTGAGCCCCAGCAGGAGAGCTGTCAGGAGGACCTCCGGGAACACCTGAAGAAGACCCTGGAGTTCTGTCTGTCTCGGTGAGTAACAGCTGTACTACACACTAGTTGTGTCACAAATTACACACTATTCTCTATATAGTGCACTACTTTTGACCAGGGAGGGTCAATAGTACTCTGGTCAATTGGCCCTGGGCAAAAGTAGTGCACTATATAGGGAATATGGTGCTATTTGGGACATAGACATTGTCTACTACAATACAGCCAATAATGCACTGGGCACACTTTGTGCTGCAGCAACCATATAAACTTGTGCAGCACAGAGGCACAGCTCTGCCATTACAGAATACAGAACTTTAATTGGCTCTTAGGGGCGGTAGCTAGGGGAGTAATGTACACCACGACTGTACCATTTATTATGCTGTTCCCCGTAAAGTATGTGTATCCCGGGCCGTAGTTTTTGTTGATAGTAATCAAGTGCCTCCCATGCCAGAATACAGCCAGTGAAATATGTCACTGTGATGATGCACAATGGCTGCATACTCATTAGTTATCTTTGGCCCTTTGTGGGAGGTGTGTTCTAAATGAAAGCTTTATTTCATGCTGTCAAGAATTCACTGGTGGGTGCTGTGGGGAGGGAGGAGTGACTTAGGCTACAGGGAGTGACTTGTCTCTTTTTGCTTACAGGGAGAACCTGGCCAGCGACATGTATCTTATCTCTCAGATGGATAGTGACCAGTATGTGCCAATCGTGACGGTAGCTAACCTGGACCACGTCAAGAAACTCAGCACGGACGTGGAGTTAATCGTTGATATCCTACGATGTAAGTGACACCCTTTTATTTGAGACTATTGTTCTCTGAACCTTTTCTGATTTACTTGATACTAACAGCATTTTTTTGTTAAGACTAAAGAGACATGGTTGGGAATGGATGTTTCATTTTACTTAGATAATTGATGGATTTCAGTTGTATTAGTTAGCCTTCTTTGTACAACACCAATTCCTAGCAATATTTGTTACATGGCAATAAAGTTTTCTGATTTTGATTATAAAGTCACTGGACTATATTGCCCTGCCTTCGTAGCTCTGCCATTGGTCCAGGTAGATGAGAAGGGGGAGAAGGTGAGACCCAACCAGAACCGCTGCATCGTCATCCTCAGAGAGGTCCCTGAGAGCACTCCTATAGAGGTATGTTCACTGGCTAGTCTCCGTCTGTGTCCCAAATGGCCCCCTATTTCCTATGTAGTGCACTACTAGTGTACCACATAGGCAATAGGGTGTCATTTGGGACGTTCTGTCTGGACCATCTGCTAAGAAAACATTGCATTACCTTAGACTGACTGACTGTATCCAGTATGGCAGACAGTGGAAATAAATCAATCAGGTTTCAGCAAGACTAGGTCGTTCTAGTAGAAGCTCTTATGTGACTAGGCTATATGTGTGTTTTATCCAAGGCATTGTAGGTAATTTCCTGTTGAGTGCACAGCACACTACCTGGGGTGTAATCATTACTCTTTACAGTTGCAAAACTTTGTTTTGCAATGAAAACTAGCGTTTCTATTGGGCAGATTCAGGTAGGTCCCTCCCTGTTTGCTGAACCTGTCCAATCGAAACACTGACCACAACCCTGAGTCGTTTTCCTGGAATCGTAAACCGTACTGGTGACCCGTGTCTCTGTGTCAATTATTTATTTGCTCATCTTCCATCTTGTCATGTTGACACCCTGTTTGACTTTTATAAAGTCATGGTAATGACACATTGTTTAAACAGTGTTTAGAGGTTTCAGCTATTGTGCAAGTGGGTAGTCATCACATTTCATGCAGTGTGACAAATTAAAGGGTGATGTTTTTGGCAGTTAAGAATTCAAAACATTTTAATGGTGTTATTGAGTTATTTCAGTCTGAACCGTACTCCCATCATGGAATATTGACAATATTTGACATTGTTAGGGCTGACTTATTTTTTAGTTTTGTGTTGGATACAGATAGAGTGAGTGTGTTGAAATAGCAGAGCGCCAGATTCAAACCAATGCTCCAGCGATGTGTTCCAGAGGCAGTGGCTTAGACCACTAGACAACCCTAAGCTTTTCAATTGAAACCAGGAACTTGCTCACATTTCCTGAGAGGTTTTGGCATTTACTAAAAGAATAGATCAGGATTTTGGCAATTAAGTCCTTTATCTACTTCCCCAAAGTCAGATGAACTTGTGGATACAGCGGTAGTTTCGCGAGCCAATGCTGACTAGCTTAGCGTATGCTAGCTGTACCCGAAGACTTAAATCCTGAACTATCCCTTTAAGCTTGACATTTGCTTTTGTTTTGCAGGAGGTCGAGGCTCTTTTTAAAGGAGAGAACTTACCTAAATTCATCAATTCTGAGTTTGCCTACAACGACAACTGGTTCATCACCTTTGAATCTGAAGCAGATGCACAACAGGTAAGGAACATTCTGGAATGTTGCACCATTGCATGATTATAGCTCTTGATTTTGTGCTTTTCCCCTGCACGCCATAGCATGTTTTAGGATTGTAGGGCTGGTCAGTGTTTGGTGTACAATCGCTAGTTGCGGCCGTACAGGGTTTCATACTGGCCTTGAGCTTACGTCCTTATCAATGGATATACAAACTGAAGGTATATTTCCTGTCTGAAGTGTTTATTAACCTTTTTTCCCTAGGCATATCAGTATCTTCGTGAAGAAGTGAAAACCTTCCAAGGGAAACCTATTAAGGTGAGCTAATTCATAATGTTTTTGTGTTAATTAAGGTTAAAATAAACATGACCCATTTACTGTACTTTCTGGAGTATTTCAGAGTATGGGAGTTCAGAACCTTTTTCCGTCTACATAACAGCTAATGCTTTCCCCCAAAAGACTTGCAGTGGATAACATAACAATTCAATCTACAGTGTGTGTATGGGTTCATTTAGAGTTTAAGTGAAATAATACCTCAGAGAAATGTGGCTAATTTATTAAAATCTCTGCACTGCTTTGAAATGCCTACTTTGCAGATTTGTTTTTGAGGAAAAATCTATTTTATAATAAACTCTAAATTCTTAACCCCAATCAGGCACGGATAAAGGCGAAGGCAATTGCTATCAATACTTTTATGCCAAAGAATGGCTACCGCCCGGTGGAGGTGAACCCGTATGCTCAACAGCAGCAGCAGCAACAACAACAACAGCGTTACACCTCCTACTACATTCCTCCAGTGTACAGCCCTCAGCAGCAGTTCCCCCTCTACAGCCTCATCACTCCACAGGCCTGGTCAGCCACCCACAGCTTCATAGACCCTTCACTGGTGAGGACAACAGTCATGCACACACCTACAAACCTACAATACAGACTAGGGTTGCAAAATTCCCATAATTCTGATTGGGAAATTCATGGATTTTATGTGTTTTCTCTCCTGATTCCGGGTATCTTCCAACCGGGGTTTCTGGAAAACCTGGGAATGTTAGGACATTTTTTGAAAACTTTTGGGAAATTACCAGGATTTTTCAAACCTACCACCCACAAACCTACAAGGCATCAGTAGAGAATTGTCATAATTTCACTGTATGATATGCTGCTAGAACTCTTTAAAAAGGTTTTTGATTTAGTGTTTCCTTCTATATTCAACAGGTTACATCATTTCACAACACCCAATTCATCAATGGATTTACAACATCCCATAGTTTTAAACCAGCGACGTCTCCTCTTGCTGGTGTTAGGCACTACTCTCCCAGGAATAGGTGGGTAAACTGACACTCCATCTAATGTATACGATACTACCAAGAATGTCCACATGACTGTGCTTGTATAATAGAAATAGAATGAGTAGAACGGGAATCTCCATTCAAGTCAATAATGCCATAATGTGTGCTCATTCCAATTCTATTGCTTGTATAGATGTAGGATATTTAAATATTATTGACCAGTGTTTCTTGTGGAATTTTTCAGGAATCACACTCACAGTAAACCACACCTGAGGCCCACAATACCCAACGCAGATCAGCGCGGCACAGGGCTCCTGGACAGCCCCACCATCTTCAACTTCCCAACAGAGCGCATCCTGAACGGGGTGCCCCGGGGTTCCCCCCAGACGACGCGGCTCCCGAGCCAGAACAGAACCAGGTTACCCCCCTCCACCATGACCTACCCCAGGAGGGACGTCGGTACGGGTCGGGTGGAGCCCGTCAGCACCGACTACTCACTGGGCATGGGCCGGGGAAGGTAAGTGATCATCCACTATCTCCATGAGCATCACCACCGTAGACATCCATAGGATGGGTCCCAAATGATACCATATTTGTTATTTAGTGCACTACTTTTGACAAGGGCATCTGGTTAAAAAAAAGTAGTGCGCTGAATATGGTGCCATTTGGGACACATTATAGTTTTACAAGAGAGAGAGCATGGTGCTCAAGTTTTTGAATAGTTTGAAATATCTGTAAGGCTAAATTGTGCTTCAAATAGATAAAAAATGTCAGTGAATCTTTCAAATGTTCTCTTTCTTAAAGGACAAATATTTATGGTTCTAGGAAAAAGAGGGACGACAACAAGTTTACAGTAAGTACATATTTTTTAATTTCTCTCCTCTTAAACTAGTCTTTGACTTTGAGAAAGATCCATCAGTACTGATGCTGCAAGCTTTTCAGGCTGTGACATCTCCTGACTGAATTTTTATATTGCAGGGATTTTGTACGTACGGTTGCCTGGCTGGCTGGCGTTAGCTCCCTGGCCTACATAGTGCACTCCTTTTGACCACAGCCCTATAGGCCCTGGTCAAAAGTAGTGCACTATAAAGGGAATCGGGCGCAGAGGTTGTATTCTCTGACTGACTCACTGCATTGTGCCGACTCTGGTGTGTTTGGTGTTTAGGGAGTGGCCACCCTGTCTGATGGTGTTTGATGCTGTTTTGTTGTATAGAGAGTGGCCACCCAGTCGCCCCCTCCTCAGAAGCCCCCGTCCCCCAGCTTTGAGCTGGGGCTTTCCAGCTTCCCCCCCCTTCCTGGGGCTGCAGGCCACCTCAAGACCCCTGACAACATGTTTGAGAACAGACTGGCCAGCATGGTAATAGGAACCACAAAGGACAGGGTCAGTATTTACCAACACAGGCTGTCATATCCAGGCCACCATACTCTGTGTGGGTCCCAAATGGCACCCTATTCCCTATATAGTGCTCTACTTTTGACCAGGACCCTTTGACCAGGCAATATGGTGCCATCTGGGATGCAGCCAAGCTCTTATCTCCAAGCCAACATAGTCGATCACTCAGCTCAACATTTCAGCTTTGCTGTCAGTAGGAACCTGATGTGTTGTTGTTTTTCTCGTCCTGTTCCAGAATGTAAGCGTTGATGCCAGCGCTGCAGGTGCCCTCCTCCCCTCAGGAGGACCCAAGGAGCCACTGAGGACTGTCACGTCTCCACAGCCCCCGAGCCTCCAGCCCGCTGCTCCACCAGCCCCGACCCTAGCACCAGCCTCTGTCCCTGTCCCTGCTTCCTCCCAACCCGCAGAGTGAGTAAAGGACACGCGTGTTTCCAAACCCCCCCCACCCCACACTATTTTCATAAAAATGTATAAACATTCCCCCACTAACACCATACGATTTGTATAGAAAAACAAAACTTATTTTGTTTTTCATCTCATACAGTATCTTTTCTCTCACACTTATCTCTATTTTCTCATCAAACATGCCAAACACCATACATATAGTAGTTCATGTCAAAAATAGATCGGTGTAGAAAAAACAAACAGAACTGACTTGGCAGCATTTCATGTCCTACACATCTTTGTGAATAAATTGTGAGGTCCTGTGTGTGTGTTTCAGGGAAATGAAGGTTCCGGAGGTGAAGCAGAAGGAGACCCGGGTCTCTGTGGAGCTGGTCACTGACACCCTGTACACCGCTAGCAAATCTGTTCAAGTCAATGGGGCTGCTACAGTAAGTACTGGTTCACCAAAGCGTTTAAACATAACCAGGTGCAATTATCGATATTATTAGCTGATATAGATCTTTTGATAGTCATAGATGCTGATTTGTGGTTGGTAATGATAGTGTTTCTTAGACTTTAATGCATGTCAAACCAGGGTGCATAGGCAATGTCCTATGAAATGGATCAGCTACAAATCTAGCTTTTTGTTTTGTGTTCAGGAACTGCGAAAGCCCTCTTACGCTGAGATCTGCCAGAGGATTAAAGACCACGCACCGACACTACAGGCCGCTAAAGAGGCCAAGCCAGCCAGCAGCACTGCCTCCACAGGAGAAGAGAGGAAGTGCCCTGATGCCGCCCCAGGGGACAGGAGCGAGCCCAAGGCCCCCCGAGAGACATACCCAGGCTCCTCCAAGCCTGCTACCACAGGCAGACCCCGAGAGGTCCGGAGACCAACCGGCCGGTGGCCCTCACCACCTCCCCACCACCCAGGGAAGGGTCCCAGCAGCAAAGATCTCAACACCCCCCCAAAGTACCTGCAGTAACCCCTAACTGCAATCAAGTCAATTTCAAAGCAAACACGTGAGAGGAAAGAAATCTGGAAAAAGTCAGGGCTATTGAAATACAACCTATCCTAAAATCACCAGTCAGTCACAGCATAGAGAGGATGCATTTCTGGATCAGGGCTTACTGACAATAGCACGTTAGTGTGCATGTAGAGCACTGTTCATCATATTTACTTATTTATTTTTGGGGGTTTTATTTGTTTCTTTCATTTTAATTTTCTTTTGCATTATTTTGTGTCAATCTGTAAAATGTACTGTTGTTCAGATTAGTGGGATAAATTCATATGTCCAAACTGCCTTCCAAGATAGTATTGTGAGAGTAGGTAGACCATCAATGGAAGCCACCCAGTGAGTGAATGAAAGGACACAGATGAGCAACAGAATAACGGTTTAGGTCTTGTTAGTTGTGGGGATGTCTCTGTATGTTGTATGCAGTCTTATTAAGATGTAATGTGATTCCATTGCATTGTCCCAAATGACACCCTATTCCCTGTGTAGTGTACTATTCTCGGTCGAAAGTAGTGCACGACATACGGAATAAGGCGCCGTGTGGGACGCATCCATAATGGTTTTTACGTATTTGCGTTCATATGCAAGGTCAACTAGTCTAGTCTCATTTTACGGACTGAGGGATTTCTGAGATTACCTTTTTGCCAACATGGAACTCTATGTCATTGTAACACCAGCATATGAGGAGAATACGTTTATTTGCATACTGGTTTTGATTGTTGGTACAAGTACTACTAGTTGTTGCATGCTGGTGGTTTTGAGAGCGCCTTAGTCTTTCTTTATCTGGCATTTCTTGTGGTAAACAATAACATTTAGTTGTTTTATGCTATCCCATTCACAGGAGTCTGTTTCCTAGCCATATAAAGCATATTGCTAGTTAGGCCTCTTAGAGAGAGGTACTATCAGTGTCAGTAGAAATCTACATGTATTTTGATCTCAGAAAAAACGGATAAATTCATCACATGGTGTCGATTGGTGACTCTTCTCGTTCTTCTATTTTGCTGTGAAACAAGCATGTCAAAGACTAGTTCAGCGGGCACATGTTGGCAATGGAAGTGGCTAGGCTACTATAAGGAGTAGGCAGTAGGGTTTTGGCAGGGTGCAGTGACTTCATTATTTTAGATAGCTATGGTGCTAGAGGATGAACCTGGAACGTGTTACTTCAATTAATCTGGTACTGTACTTAGATAATAATACTTGATACATGTCGTCAACTAAACTTTGCACTATTTGTTTTGTTTCTGGATTAAGAAATCCATATTTTAACTACATATCAGAAGCAAAAAGGGAACCTAACATGTGAAGCTAGTTTCATATTCTCTGAAATGTAAAGACGAATATTGAAAGTTCTGATAGTCACATAATAAGCCCTTTAAAATTTCAGTTATACAACAAATTCAGTTTTTTCCCCTCTTGGATTTCAACTGTCTTCTTGCCATTTGACTTGCACATTATTATTAAATGTTGTGACAGGGTAATCAGTTTCAGAATATCTAAATGTTGACACATTTTATTAACCTCTACACTGAGAAATTCACACACGTTCAACTTTGTTTGTTTACTGCCATGTAAATGCCTACTAGACATATTTCTGTGCATGATGAAAATAACTTTAGTCTTGTTATTTTCTTTTGTGCTCACTTTCATTGATTTAAACCTATGGAGTCCCACTAACTGGCTTATTTTTGCAGTGGCGTTTTATTTTGTTTTGCTTTTGAGGTAGTGAATTGTGAAACCACTGGTACGTGGTGTTTTTTTGAAGCTGTTTCAGCTTATTCAGTATTATAGTAGCTAATTGTAATGGGGGTTTACACCTTAGAGCAGAGTTTCCCAAACTCTGTCCCGCCCCACCCCCCTGGGTGGACGTTTTGGTTTTTGCCCTAGAACTACACAGCTGATTAAAATAACCAACTAATCATCAAGTTTTGATTATTTGAATCAGCTGTGTAGTGCTAGGGCAAAAAACTAAATGTGCACCCAGGAGGGGCACCAGGACTGAGTTTGGGAAACCCTGCCTTAGAGAATGTGTATACCTGATTGCTCAAAAAATTTGAAAATTAAGTGGAATTAGTTTAAAGGAAGATGTGGGGTTTTCCTTCACTACAAATGTTAGATATGAAGGTAAAAGATGAGAGGCAGCCCTTTTAAAATGAAGGTATAGCTTTAGTCATTAGGTGACACTCAGAAAATATGAGTAGTAAACTGCACCCTGTGAGCAGGCAGAGCCTGACCTTTGACCTGTTTGGATGCTGTAAACCTGAGCAGCCACTGAGTCCTTTCAGTTTGGACAAATGTTAGGCAGAGCAGGCAGCACTCTTGGGTTGTTCCAACTCCTCCCCCCTCCATACAGTAGAAATGCCCGGTTCATTGCAGGACTTAACTAACATTTATTTTTAGCATGCTTTTCTTCTGGAGATTTCACCTGGCTCTCCATACAACAACCATATAGCATCCAAATTCCCCTCTGTGCTTTGTATAAATCTCTAAGTAGAAAAAATAATGTGGAACTTGTGCGCTTCTTTAGTGTGTCATTGACGTCTTCCTGCAACAAGGAGCTACCCTGGAGTACTCTGCTTAGAAAATAGGACATTTCGGAGAGAGGAGACATTGCCTGTACTGATAGTCATTGCTGCTTTTGATTTGGATTATTTTTGGTTTGCAAACACATTATTTGTAGAGTTTGATTCTGAAGAACTGAGATGCACTTGAATGGGCAGTCTTAAATGGCAGATTTATTATAAAAAAGTTTTCTTTCCTGAGATGGTATAAAATACATGTTGTACCATATCTGCTTATTTATAAACCAGTGCTGTTTATTCCATGAGATATCATTAGAAAAGTTTATTTTGAAGAAAAAATATATACAATTATATATTTACAAATGTATAATTTCCATCCAGTGTTTAAAAACTTGAATTTTATTTAAACTTGAAAATGACTTTGCCTTAACTTTTATACGAGATAACGTAGTTAGTTTATTTCTTTTCAAACCCCAACATGTTACTAAGGGAGACCCATGGAAATATTTAGTCATTCCAAACATCACAAGTCTTACTTGGTCTTAAAGTACAAATCTAGCAGCATTTTATTTTGGTTTTGTAAAATTTAACTCAATCTCTTTTGATTAACCTTGTTTCTTGTTTCAATTTTCAGTTTGTTTTGGGGAAAATATAAATCCTGTAAATGCAACATTGTCAATACTGTATCAAATATGTGCACTTTGAAGTGTGTGCTTAGCTTGTACAGTTGTAAATAATCAGAAAATATAAAGAGAGACCTTAAAATGATAAAAAAAGAAACATATATTGATCTTGTTGAAATATTAATGTCGCTTTTGAGCTGGATGTAGGATAAAAACTAAATGTTGTGGTTTGAATTTCTGTTTTTCTTTTGTTCTGGTGTGAAGAATTGCGTCTGCCTCACTTTGCAATGTGGGCAGGTTGTCTGATTGTAACTTTTTAAATGTCATTCTCATTCCATTTCCTTGTGTTTTCTCAACAAACAAGTGTTTGTTTCTTTTGTTCAGCCCCTTCACTGTGCACAATGAGAGAAGGGGAGAACCTACCTGTGGTACAAACACATCTTTAAATGACCGTACAAAGTCAGTAAGTACTATGTCTTGTGACAGACTGCTTATATCAATCTGATGTGTGATTTAGCCCATAAAAGATTTCTTTATGAATCACATTAAAGCACATTTTAAGCACAGGAACATCAAATCTTTCACACACAACTAATGTCAATTCCACAGCAGCATTACGGTATAATTGTGCCAGACAAAAACCTTTAATCGTTTGGAGCAAAGTGATTAAAGCGTTGTTGGTATTTTGTTGATATTCTGTTCTTAGTTTTTATTTGAAGTTTTGTTTTTCATCAAGATGTACATCAACTGAACTTTCGTAGCCCCCAGAAGTAATAACTACATTTTTTTGGGTAGGCTTTACCAGTGTTTAGACTCAATCATAATAGTGTAGATATTTTTTACACTTAGCATTTCTGCAAGAAATTAGTTTTCTGGCAGACTGTATAACATACTGTTCATTGTCTTTTGTATAATTTGATCACACATGTGGACTGCATTTAATGTGGCAAAAAAAAACATTAACTGTGCCATTTAATTTGTTTCAGCCTGGCAGTTTGTTTGACTTGTACATAATATTTAAACGCCTGCCATTATATTTTGATATTTGTTGTTTACTGATGGGAAGTGTAGCTGGTCCAGAATTATAAAACTGGGAACTAAAATCTGATACCACTGACATTAGACAAAGTACTTATAGCAACCTGCATCTGACCGGGTATCTGATCTGGCTTATGAAGTCGAGGCATGTTTGTCTGTAAATTTAAGCTGGTCTATGCTAGTAGGCCTATCTAATGCAAAATGCTAATGCTGTTGTCTTTGCAGATTGGGTATCGATATGCTATCAGGCTGGGTACTGTGGGAGTGTAGGAGAAAGTGATGTGCGTGAGAGTGTGTGTGTGTCTGTGAGCGAGAAGTGTACCACCTGGGGTCAGCAGAAGTATAAAACACAAATGTAAAGTTGACTGACGGTTGAAGTCAAGTTAACCCAAGGTTGATTCGCCAGCCAGGTGTGTGCAGCATAATGATGAGAAAAGGATTTTGCGTTAAATGTTATTGGTTCATCTCTCCAGAAGATGATGGCACTGCTTACAGTACAAAAGACTGTGTTGAACTTTTTCTTCTTTCTTTTGCTCGCACTACTGAAGCCCTGTTGTAATGTTCGGGCTGTTCTCCTTGTGTTACTGTACACAGACAGTGTTTCTCATATCAGGCCGTCTCGCTCTCCTTGCCCAGTTCGCTCCTATCAGCTTCGTCTCACCAGTTTGACAGTGCCATGTATTTTTTTGAAACGGCTACAGCTTGTTGTAAGTTGACCTTGCGTCTAAAGTGATGTTACAATGCACCAACTGACTGGAATGAGACATATATCCATTGTCTCACTATC